CGATGTTCTCAGCTTTCTCCTCGATTGGTTGAGCTTCTGGCGGAGGCGACGATAGCTCCATGGGGCGAGAATAGCCAGCACCGTCCATGCCGAATGTGAATCGTACAGGTGTGAAGGCCGACTCGTGGTTCGGGTGGAACACCGAAGCTCTCGATGAGCCTATTGAGCTGAAGAAGGACGTCTCGCCGATGTAGCTCGCTTCACTTGGTGGATCTTCTTCCTTGTCTCCCGTAGTATCGGCTTCGACCGACTGTTCGATAGTAGTAGCAACGCCAAAGTAAGACGCAGCATCAGCATCATGCTCTCCTGGAAACGGTGACGGCAATGGAAGATTGGAGGCGTCTTGTGGCGCAAGTGTTGGACTTTCAGGCTCTCGACCGATGGGCGTTAACAAGCCTGCAGCGACCGATGGGAAGGCGGGAGGAGGCATAGCAATCGTAAGCTCGTTGTTGGCGTGGTTGTCAGCCCCAGCGGCGGGCACAGGTTCGGTTTCCACATGTGATTTTACGACTTCTGAGGAGCTTGTTTCATGAGTCAAAGTCATCTTATCCTTTCCTGTGACTGCCTCTATGTCAACCACTGGTTCTTGGACGCGCTCAAGTGGTCTGTCTTCTTGTTCTTCGACATCCGCCTCGGTGGTGCTAGTGCTGGTAGCATTAAGCTCATCGCGCGTGTTGCCTTCTTCCTCGGTATTAACTTCAGTGTCAATCTCGGTATCGCCTCCAAAAGCATATTGTGCATCTGATGATGGGTGTTCGTCGGGCCCAGTGTGGAGATCGTGGGAATCGGCGTCCTTTGGTGGCCCCGTAGAAGACTCGCCAACGACCTCTGCATCTTCCTCTGTTGGAGTATTCGGCTCCGTCTCTTCGTCTTCCTGAACATGCAAGGACCCGGCTGGTCGTTGAGGCGAAACGGGGGTGCGCGGAAGCTGCCCTGCACGACTAGGCGACGCTTCAACAGACTCGAGTTCTTCTTCCATGTTCACATCCTCTTTCTCCGGCGATGGTGTCCTCGCGCTGTATGTCCACGCCTTCCAGTCCCCGTATGACTTCCGATGTCGCTTTCGGTCATGGCCGTCTTCCGTCTCGTCGGCCAAGGGATCGTAGGGTGCTGGGAAGGAGGGACCGTCGGATAAGCGCGCCCGCTTGAAGAAAGCAGGGGAGGAGAATTCGCGCGCAGGTATCGGGGTTGCTGGGCGGAGAGGCGATCCGATCGCAGGCGTGGGCGCGGCATCGACGAGTTCGAGATTTGCTGTTTCGCTGCCATTTCGATAGACCTGGATCACTACTGTCTGTGTGTATGATAGCTCCCACTCAATGCTCTTGCCTGGTGTGCTGACGGCGCCTTCCTTAACAAATTCGGCACCTCGCAGGCTCAGAACCACCTCATCGCCAATGCCCACGCCTGCTGTCGCAATGGCCTTCGCGCTGGCGCCAGAGAAGCGCGCTCTGACTTGTCCATTCTTGCGCCGTAGTCGCAGTTCGGGCTCAGCGAGCAGCAGGGCAAATTGTCGCGTCGATGATGAATACGGCCATATTAACGTGACGGTCGCTCGGAACTGCTTCGATTCGATCGCGGCCAGCTCTGGACTGAGCTCTGCGATATGTGTGTAATCCATGATGCGCGGCGAGAGCGCAGATGCGTGTTATGAAAGCGACATCGTGAGAAGGGCGATTTGTCTAGGGGGGAAAGTGGGTATTGCGCCCGTGGGTGGTGTGGTGTTGACGTGTGAGCAGCACCTTCCGCGCAACATCCCTGCACGCTTCCATCCGCTTGCGGCCACCTCGGTTGTTCCTGCATCACAGCTTCCATCAAGCGCGTTTGATGTCGTCACTTTTGCTATCAATATAGCGCTTTCCATTAGGACAAATAAAAGCCGTCACTGGGATATCCATGAGACTGGCAGTATAGGTGTGTGTGTTGTACAGGAGCGCGCTATGTTCAGAGTTACAGGCCTATTACTACGGCAGATCCAAAACATCCTTCAAGACTTTCAACGTCCCGAACAAGTCATTATCGTGATACCTTCTTGCATTCACTTGCAAGTTGATCGGCGCTCCTTCGAAGTCTGAGCTCTCCCACAGCTCTTTGGTGTGTCTGCACTCATCGCTCAATGGCTTGTACCCTGCGGCATATGCTTCCTTGCCCTCTGCTTTGATGGGTGTCGGCACAACCACCCCGGGGTAGTCAACAAAGTTATACAGACTCGTATATGTCCAATAGAAGGCAGTGTCATGCGCAGAGGCCGGGCCGACGAACGCAGGCCCAATGACGATGTCGACTTCCTGTTCATTCCAGCTGTCGGCAAATTCATACCGGTATTTGTCGCGAGTAGCACGAAGCTCATTAACCTCTTCAGCATGAAGCATACCGAGAGACTCAACATCTTTCCAGTTCCAGTCGCTCAGTGGTAACACTGGCTCGCCTGTGGACATGACATCTTCCTTCGCTAGTTTGCCACCGCCTGGCCAGTACATACGGCGGATAAGCTTCCAAGCTTCCTGTGCCTTGTAAGGTGTGAACGGCTTTACCTGAACAAGCTCAGAGTACCTTGAGTCTGAGAGACGCTCACGTGCCCAGGCTATAGCGCGCTTAACTGGTGGCTGAGGGTCGATGAACCCGTCGTTCTCGATGATACCGACCCTCAGAGGCTTCTTAGTCTTGGTATTGAAGCCTGTCCAAGGAAGCGGAACGACCTTAGGGTCCAGCAGGTACGGTTTTTGGTCCAGAATGGTCGTCATGAAAAGATCCATGTCGCGCAAACTCCGACAGAATGGACCAGTGCTACACAGAACGTTGAGCTCTGCCGAAAATGAATGAGCGAGGAAGTCCTTCATCGGTAGCATGTATGAAGTCGACTTGTATCCATAGACCCCGCAAAATGCGGCAGGGCCTCTTATACTGCCGCCGATATCTGTGCCTACGCCGAGCACTGATCCCTTCATGGCCACTAGGGCAGCTTCGCCACCAGATGAGCCACCTGCACTAAGGTTGATGTTGAAGGGGTTCAGCGTGCGGCCATAGTGAGATGTCGACTCCAAGTGCATGATCGTTTGAGGCTGATTGGTTTTGCAGTAGAATATCGCACCCATATTTCTCAACATCGACACCAGCAGGCAATCCTCCTCATTGAAGACAACGCTCGCTAACGAGCCTTGTGATGAATAGGTTCCGGCAATGGGCATGTGCTCTTTGATGCTAATGGGAACACCGTGGAGCGGGCCAATCGTCTTGCCGTTCTTTAACATGTAATCGTCCAGCTCTTGCGCCCTTTTGACAGCCTCGTCCATGAACCATTGGGTCAAACAGCATGTCAATTGATGTGAAACGATAGCGCGTTTCGAGAATGCAGTGGCTACTTCGACCGCTGATAGCTTGCGTGCAGCGAGGGCTTCAGCAAGGCCTACTGCATCGTACTTTTCTGTGATGTCGATCTCAGTGGATGTGAGTATACCACAGGTGACTGGTATTTTCGAAACATTTTTCGGTGGACTGGCAAATATCTCTGGCGACAAGCGTAGTTCCGGAGGCACCTTCTGCGCGAAGGCTTCAAGGATTGAGGCTCGCTTCTTCTCGTAATCTGCTGTACCTTGAGGCACAGGTTTGGGCTGAACTATAGCGAGCTCAGAAGGGTGATTGGCCATTCTGGTTCAGTTTAGATGATTAAAAGATGTGAGTAGTCTGTGTGCTCAAGCGTTGTTAATCGTATGAACCAGCATCGCGGTCTTATCTCCACCTGTATCGTCATTGTCGAGGCTAGGCCCAAGACAAGATACCCTGGCATTCGTGGCGCTGAGAGACATCCCGTACGTGAACGTGGTCATCGGAAAAGTTCCGTGCTGGTATACGACGGCCGATTATCGTATGGCGATAAAGCCGATAAGGCGTGTGGTTGGTGTTGAGGAGCGGAATAGAGGCCGACGAACGGCCCTTAGCGCGTCATCCCACATCGTCCCGTATCAGCTAGCGAGCAACTCCTTACTACATCCAGCTCCAACGACTCTAACTTCCCGGTTATCTTCCAATGAACGCAGCGCCTCCACTGCCTATCAAGCGAATGTTTCCCCGCTTTGCGTCCCGTATCTCGACTCTTCGTCCCCTCGCATGGACCTGCTGAGTTGCGGAAGCCGGAAGACACACACGGAGATGGGCAGCCTAGGAGAGACATTTGCGTGGCTATCTCCATGGCTTGCTATCACATCCCCTGAGGGCAAGGATTTGGAGACGAGGGAATGTGATAACGAACATGCAGGCTCCACGACGAGCTCCAAACTGAAATGACGCAGGTTACCCATGTTCTTGGGGTTGAAGCTGCATACCACCCCACTCTTGTTGTCTACTTTGGGTACAACCAGTTCCAGAAGCTCAGCATTCAAAATACAACTGCATCAGCAGTTGAAGCCTACAGCTACCTAGTTGGCAGTCGACTATCACGATGACCGTTGGCGCAGACCCCTCCGACACGGCTCCCGTGCCAGGTACTGTACATCTGGTAGACTTGGATCATAGCATTCAAGCTCGACACGCAGGCGATGGGGATATCATTCTCAATCCAGCGCCATCGAGTGATCCTGATGATCCGCTCAATTGGTCTCCACGCCGCAAGCTCACATCAACGATATGTACCAACCTGTACGTGCAACTATCGCGCACCACATATGAGACTAATGAGCCGTGAAGATACACCTGGATGACGGGTATCGCTGTGTCAACAGTGTATTCCGTCTTAGTACCACTATCGGAAGCCTCGGGCGTATCTGTGTCAACGCTGAACGAGGGCACTGGATATATGTTTCTATTCCTCGGTTGGGGTCTTCTCTTTTGGCAACCTTTCGCACTACGATACGGCAAACGTCTTACCTTCCTCATATCGGTCGTCGGTGCCATTGGATGTAGTATCTGGAGGTGAGTGTGGATGCTTTACAGTGACATACTCTCGTACTGACCTTGGAAGTGCGTACGTCAAAAGCAATGGCGAGTGGATAGCTCGATGTATCGTCATGGGCTTCTTTGTCGCACCAGTGGAAGCTCTACCTGAAATCTCCGTAACTGATGTCTACTTCACCCATCAGCGTGGGAAATACATGGGGTTCTACGCATTCTCATTGGCCGGTAGCAACTACTTTGCTCCCATCATCTCTGGCTTCATTGCTGAAGGCCAAGGGTGGCAGTGGGTCTTTTATTGGCCGGCAATCTTCTTGACCGTCTCGCTGATCTTCATGTTCCTATTCATGGAGGAGACCAACTATACAAGAAAGATTGAGGGAGTCGCCGTTACAGCTGAGCCTCCGCAGAGAAACTCATCCAAGGTCGTTGATCAAGAGAAAGCCGACAGGACGACTTCGCAATCCACTGCGAGCGATGATATGCGAGTATCAACAAAGACTTTCACGCAAAAGCTATCAATCTGGCAACCGTCCCCGGGATCAAACGTCTTCGAGCGCGCAAAACGTAGCCTCATGTACCTGAGCTGGCCCGTCATCTTTTACGCAGGGTTCAGCTACGGTTCTTACCTCATTTGGTTCAATGTCTTGAACGCCACTGCCTCAATCATCCTCGGCGGCCCAGGGTACAACTTCAAGCCTTCCATGGTCGGTCTCAGTTACGTGTCTTGCTGCATTGGAGTGATTGCCGGAGCACTGTTCTCAGGACGATTCAGCGACTGGTTGACCATCAAACTAGCACGCCGGAACAACGGCGTCATGGAGGCTGAACATCGGTTATGGCCATTTGCAGTATGCTTGGTGATGGTCCCGGCATTCTTGATACTCTGGGGTGTTGGTGCTGCACATGGCGTACACTGGTTCGGACTCGTCTTTGCCATGGGTTGTGTCGCTTTTACTTCATCAGTCGGCGTCACCATCAGCGTAAACTACATGATCGATAGCTACCACGACATAAGTGGCGATGCGATCGTGACGGTTATCTTGATTCGCAACACCATGTCGTTTGCAATCAGCTACGGGTGAGTTCCTCAAAGCTTTTACAGAATGACTTGCTAACGAAACGTAGCATTACGCCGTGGCTGACCGACTTGGGCTACCAGAACTGTTTCATATCCGCAGCCTTCGTCGGAATGGCTGCATCGGCAGTGTTTCTCGTAATGATCAAGTACGGCAAGGGCATGCGCGTTAAAAGCAGTAGCAAGTACTACAGTATCGTGGACACTGATAAGGCGATGAACTAGAGCAGTGCATATAGAACTCGAAGCATAATTGTATGCGTGGCTGTGATGCTTTTTGATCACCAGTCTTACGTTTAGAAATGATTTCGGCTTCCAGATCGAGTTCGTAACATCGTAACATTCGTTCAAGATACATAGTGAACTACAATACGAGCACCGCGAAAAGAGCTACACCGCTAAGCAAACCAGCCGTCCCATACGGTACGCTGATCTCGCCAGCTGCACCCGTAAAAGGCTGTGGTGTTCCCGTGGGGGTAGCAGCAGCGCCCGACGCTACTGTCGCTGATCCAGTCCCACTAGCCGTTGCACTTATCCTTCCGTCAACACGGAAGAAGTTTGCCGCGAGCGGCGCACTCACACCGTTCTGCGACATGAACGATTGGATGTCAAAGCCTATCCTATCTTGTACGCCAGCAAATGCTGATGCCTGAATGTTCAGACTGGCAGGTTGCGGGAAGAGCAGTTCGACGTATCGATGCGCGACTGTGTCGGTCGCTGGAGGGCCTGGAGGGATGTATGGGGCGGGACCCTTTTCCGATGATGCGAGCAGAGTGGCGGCGCCCATGAGTTGTTGTTTTGTTGCTTTGAATCCCGTGTTCATGCAGTGTAGTAGTGTGCGGCGTTCTGTGCTGCCGTCCGCTGGTGGAACATCGAGATCGAGCATCACAAACATGTATGTTTGGCTTGCGTCTATCATGGCGCTGGACAATGCAAGTTGTGGTTGTGTCGCGGCAGCTAGACAGGTCAGGATTGCAATTTGAGTTGGAATATCTGGAGACTTACAGGCTTTTGCTAATTGCTGCCCGGCTGTGTTGACCATGGTCGAATTGAAGATAACTTCAAGCTTGGTGGTAGCCTGAGGCGTAAAACCTGAGGGTACTTGCGCCTGCGCAAGACCCACTAATCCAGCGACCAATACTGAAGGTATGAAATGCATCATAAAGTAAATACGTTTATAAACAATTGCGTGGAGAACTTTGCACACAGGATGGAATAAAAGTGGTTTTTTGGAGGCGGCCCGAAATGAGGCTACCAGCCTACATATACCGTCATTATCGAAGTACGCGGCCCCAAGGAATATTCGCTGAAGCCGTGGCATAGTCTGTCGCAGTGCATCTAGCGCCGATAGTAGGTGACGTGCTTACGTAGAGTGTTCCATATGACTATGAAACCGCATCTGCGTGAAGACCTAGCTGTCACATCTTGGCAATCGTCACGCCCACAATGCCTAAAGCAAATCCAGGATCATACCTTTCGACAATTCGCTCATGTGTCGCAAGAAGCCGTACGTAGGAGGCATTGATAATGCTGAAGAAAATGTCTGCTGTGTGGTCAGTCCTTCCTCATTCAGCTACGTGACAGAGTCCAGGCAATATCTCGCTGCCCGGGTCTCCGAAGCGCCCCCGAACATAGCGCCTACTTATGAAAAGATGATGCACAGATATCTGGGGTCGAAATCGAGACTGGAGGTCGTGAGAGCCGTTTGAAGTAGCGGATTTCGCAACGGTTCACGGTCTGCATCCCCGCCGTAATGACGCAGTGGGGAACGTCTGCAGACCTGTCAGGGTTTCGCCAAGGTGTCAACCTCCGAAACTGGAGCAAAGAGACGAGTATAGGCGTCTTTCAGATTCCGACAACTGTTCCAGACAAAAGTCTGACGTAGCATTGATGGGACCAACCGGGAGTAGCCATGGACTGCTGGGCAAGAGCGTCTGGCAAAACACGCTAGGGGCGCCACACGTGAGCGCGCGCTGAAGACAGTCTGTGCTTCTCTTAGCGCCGATCGCCACGTTGCGTGCATGTCGCGCGATCAGGGATACCTCCTAGGTATCTCCTATGCTATCCATCATTACTCGCCGGCGACTTGGGTCTGGACGATATCTCTATTGGAAGGGCATAATATCAATGGCAAATTCCAGCCACGCCGTCGTGGCTTCGAAAGACCCCGCCAAACCACCGAAATCACATTGGCCACTCGCATACTGCATACAACCACAGAAGCCTAAAGCCTCGTCACTCCAGTCCTATGGTTTCTCATCTACTCAAGCCGCACCAAAACAATGGTGGAGTCATCGCCTCTACCGAGGTCCGGAAGGCAAGGAAGTCGAAGTTTTGTACAGCAAGAACAAAGCGCAATCCGAGATATACGCGAAGCAGTTCCTTGAAGAGCCTGTCATTGGATTTGACATGGAGTGGCCGTGGAACGATTGGAAAAGAGACGATTTGCAGAACAAGATTGGACTGATCCAACTCGCTTCTGAAGACAAGATTGCATTGTTTCACATCGGACTGCATCCAGGAAAGACGAGCGAAGACATAATCGCGCCAACACTGAAACGCATTCTTGAGGATCCCAAGATTGGCAAAGTAGGTGTCAATGTGCTGAAGGCGGACTTTTCGAGATTGAATCGCTTCTTCGGGCTCAAGCCCAAAGGTGCCGTCGAATCCAGCCATCTCTACCGCCTCGTAAAGTTCGGCCCTGCAAAGCCGGAGTTGGTGTCGGTCAAGCTGGTGAGTTTGGCACATCAGGTGGAGGAGCAGCTCGGTCTGCCCCTTTACAAGGGCGACGTGAGGACAAGTAACTGGAGCAAGCCCCTGTCGAAAGATCAGATCAACTACGCGGCTGGAGATGCGTACGCGGGCTTCATGCTTTACAAATGTATGAATGCGAAGAGACTTGCCATGAGGCCTACCCCACCATTACCGATTCATGCCGAGAAGTACCCAAGCGGCAAGGCATCGAGAGATGATCCGATACTGTTGGACGTCGGAGACGGTACAACCATCACTACAGAAGCCTTCTTTGGTGTCAAACCTGCAAAGAGTGGAACAACAAGAACAAGCTCTAACGTACCGAAGAAGACTGCACCTGCGAACACTAGTGGGTCAACGTTGGATCATATTTCACAAGCATTGTTCGAAGAGTTAGCTGTTCGGCGAGCATCCCTTGCAGAGACTGGGAAGATACAGCCTTCTCGCGTCATATCCGACACTCTGCTAGAAGCCATCGCGCGCGCACAGCCTTGCGATACTGAGGGCTTGCTTGCTGTAAAAGGTATTGGAAAGATCCAGCAAACAAAGTACGGTAACGAGTGGCTCGAGGTTATCTCACTTTTTCTTGCCACGAACGGCATCAAGCAACCAGCTGGGACTGTGAAGCCATCCGAACCAGAAATCCAGTTGCCGCATACACCTCGCCGCCCAAAGATGCAACGCAAGGTTGCAGATGATAGCTCTGGAGACTCGTCTCCCGCTTTCGAAACAGCGCCCCCACGGACACCTCAACTACACACCGGCCTATCTTTTACTATGGCAGAGACAAAACTTGGTGTGGGTCATGGCAATGAATCTCATGGCAGTACATCCCCTTACGACTCTGACGATACCCTCCCATCACTAGACTTTGGCAGTCCCAGCCGTCGGCGAACAAGCGCCGGCACCAAGCGCAAACGCGCTGAGAGTCCGGTGAAGACCGACGCAGAAAAAGGCGCTCAGCCTGCGGGAGAATCGTTACAAAATCCGACGATAACCACACCTCGCACCATACTAGCTGGCAAGGTATCGGAAGGAGGACCACTAGATACAACGACACCTTCTAAATCGAAAGCAAAGTTTACGCAGCAACCGTCCCTGAGCCATGCCCTCGACGTCGTGAGCAAAGGCCCTTCTTCAGCCTCAGCGCCAGACCCAGCACAAAACCCACCGCTACCACCTGCATCGCGCATCGCTCGGTCAAAGCTTCTAGCCTTCAGTAAACTGGTAACGCGAAAATTGCCCGCTCGATCCGCAACGGCTCCACCCATTATAACAGACCACACGTTGGACCTGATCTTAAGAGTAAGACCGCAGACGCAAGATGAGCTGGAACGCATTCCGGGGATAGACAGCTTGCTATTAGCTTGTGAGAAGACGGGCACAGATTTACTGAGGAACGTAGTCAAGTTTGTACCACCGCAGCCATGATACAAGAGGGTTGAGAGTTATGGTATGAATTCATGGCTTGAGGAAGCTATACGATAATGGGAGTTCTTTGGTTGAACATCTACTTCGTGATGGGCTCTATTGTCTATGATATTGACACTGTAAAACAGGCCTATACGTTGATGCATTTAAGCCCACATAGCCTTGAACTTGGTGTCAAAGTCTTCTTTCAGAGCCTTGAACGCCTTCAGCACATTCAACAAGCCCTCGCCTTCCTCCCAAGCGGGCGGTTCCTTCTTCTCATCATCGTCATCGGCATCCCAGCTCTCTTCGACTTCCGATTCGCTGGAAGAGCTCCCCATCTCATCCTCCCATGATTCTTCGACCTTCTTCTTGGCCTTCTTCTTGGGTTGGAACGCCAGTTCCTGCTTGGGTGGGACTTTGCTCGTGGAAGCAGTGGTGGCTGAACTGGCCTCTGTCGCAGTGTCACTCGGTAGCATTTTGTCTTCCCGGTTCTCTTCCTCGTCGTCACCACCACCTCGGACGTCGATGAAATCGAGATCGGACTCTGTTGCAAGACCCAAGAAGTTTGACAAACTTGTAGTAATCGTGGCGAGCGTCATACTGAGGTCGTTCAGTACGAACCATACATCTCCACGACGAATCTTGTTGGCCGTGATCAGAGCGTTGACGTCACCGTGCATGAAGAAGTCATAAAGGTAAGCGTTCAGCGGGAGATCGGAATCCTCAGGGTAGAGGCCAACGTGAGGTACGACAGCCTCTTCAAGGAAAACGCCGGAACGGCTAGTGCTGCACAGATCGTGGATGGACTCGAACTTGTCATCGTATCCCGAAAGAGCAACAAAATTGGAGCGTGCCTTCACGTTCTGGCTCTCTGATTTCGGAGAGGCTTCGGCACCGACGGTGACATCTGTCAATGGGAGCGTGTTGTCCGGCTCCTGAACATGTTGGTCGACGAAACTGCGCACGTAAGCTGTGAAAATGTCGAGCGTAGTCTTGTTGTGGCGACGCAACACATTCGCAGCGTGCTCTGGCATTGAAGGCAGGAACACCAGCGATGG